AAAGACCGAGGTTTGAAGCGAATAATTGATTTTCTACAAGCAAGTGTTTTGCACCGTGCTTGGGAGAAGGTGTCTAGCTTAAGTCTGTGACAAAGAACTATTGGGCACAATGGGACCAGTTGAAGCTTGAAGATGTATTCTTGTCCGGAGATAGGAGACTGCAGATGGGAAAGTGACGACCTGGCAAACAGTTATACCGAGAATGTTATGGGAAGTTGTGCTGCGTCAATCACATGATAGTTTAACAGGAGGACATTTTGGAGTTAAGAAGACATTGAGTCACCTACAGCAGAGATTTTACTGGATAGGTATGAGGCAAGATGTGGAAGAATGGTGCAGGACCTGCAGTATATGTGTTAAAAGGAGACCCAAGCATAAGGGACGTGCTCCAATGAAGTTATATCAAGTTGGTGCACCAATGGAAAGAGTAGCCATTGACATTGCTGGTCCTTTGCCCCAAACTCGTGCTGGAAACAAGCACATTTTTGTGGTGATGGATTATTTCACCAAGTGGCCTGAGGCATATGCAATACCAAATCAGAAAGCTAAAACTGTAGCTTCGGCTATTAGTGATTTCTTCTTCATGTTTGGTATCCCATACAAACTGCATTCTGATCAAGCTTGTAACTTTGAATCAGCTGTGTTCCATGATTGCTGCAAGTTGTTTGGCATACTAAAGACCAGGACAACGCCACTTCACCCACAGTCTGATGGGATGGTAGAAAAAGTACAATTGGATACTGGGAAAGGAATTGGCAAAGTTTTGTAATAGCCACCAAGATGACTGGGATGTCCTACTCCCTCCACTGTTGATGGCTTACAGAACAGCAGAGCATGAAACCACTGGATACACTTCAACAAAGCTGATGTTTGGTCGGGAACTTCGGTTGCCAGTGGACCTGATAACAGGATGCCCACCTTATGAAGAGTTGCCTGAAAATGTGCCAGAGTTCGTGAAAGTGTCATCTGAAAGGATGATGATATTCATCATCATAGTGCATTCAAACTTTGAAACGTCTGCTGATTCCATGAAGCTATGTTATGATAAGAAATCTACTGAAGTCAGCTTTGTACCATGAGACAAGGTGTGGTTGTATAATCCAGGAAGATCAAAG